TCAATTAAGTTGTGTATGAGTTTCAAAAGAATGGTGACCTTTTTCCTTTCCTCTGACTTCATCAAGTTATAATAGCAGGAACGATTTACTGCTGTCTCATCGTAGCCCTTTGGCTTTCAGTGCTGCTGTTTATCAGAAGGAGTCGTGTTTCTCCACATCTGGCTTTCAAGAAAGTGTGAATGCTGAATTCACGTCATGTGATGGATGGTAAAGAAAACAACGTTCGGATTACAGACATGTTCATGTGGGGATTAAGGTGTCCATTAAACTTTCATGAATTTGGCTGATGTAATAGTTAATATACAGTACAACTATATATACTCTGAGTTTCCCCTGTCGTAGTTATAACTTCATGTGAACGCTATTTACAAGTCCTAAATGTGTAACTATGATAACTTTGATATGACACAAATATGCATTTGGTGTTTTTTTAGTAATGTTAATAACAATAACAACAATACTTTTTATATAATAATAATAATAATAATACACTTTATTTATGTACCACCTTCCCAAAACTGTGTCTACAAGGTGCTTTACAGGTTAATAACAACAAACTGAATCATAAATCGATCATTTTAAAAACAATAAGAACAAAAGCAGAAACATCGTATTATACTCTGGTAGGTTGTTCCAGAGTCTGGGGGTCCTGATGGGAAACGCTCTGTCGCCTTCATTTTTTAGTCTGGAACCACCAGGAGAGCAACATTTGAGAAGCTCAGGGCCTGTGACGGCAAATCTGGAGTTTAAATAAAGCTTGGGGCCGAACCGTTCCGCGCTTTAAAAGTTTTTAAATCCACTCTAAAACTAACAGGCAGCCAGTGCAACAATCACGGGATAGGTTCAATGTGTTTTCTGGTACCTGTTAAAATCCTGACGGCTGCATTTTGGATTAATTGTAGAGCAGAGAGACTTTCTGCTGCAGAAGGAAGAAAAATAAGTCCTCGAGTTTATAAGCAAATGCATACAGGTGTTTGTTAAGATGGATCTGAAGTATTCATGTCAAATACAGCGAAAAAGTAAAAGAAAACAATGTAACTGAAGTTAAAATATTTGACGGTACCTTTCACAGTGCAGACAGTTATTGGCAACACTTTTCAACATAAATTAGATTCCATTGTTTTCCAATGTTTGTAATAGATTTTTAAAAGAAACTTCACTTTTTTTTTTATGGCATGATACCTCTGGTACACTGCACAAAATGCATGTTTGAGTTCTTGCTACTTCCAGCCAGGATTGTACTGTTTCCATAGAGATGCTCGATTTATATACTGCAGTGAGAAACGAGGCCATAGTGAGTGAAAGCTGACAACTCCATAATTAATGCTGCAGGACAGAAATGCGACATGTGACATGTTTGAATGTTGGGCACGATAAAAAAGTGTTTTATGTCACGTAAAAGAAGTAGAAAATAGTGATGAAACATGTTTGAGCATGAATGTGGTCATTTTATGGACTGATTGATGAGCTGGACGAGCAGCGTTCTTCCCTGTGAGACTCCCTCACAGTAACGGGTAACAGCATGTATTTCACCCCAGAGTGCCCACAGTCCTCCATCATTTCCATCAATCCTCACTTTACTTCCCTCCTCGTCTTTTACTGCCTTTCTTCTTCTTTTTTTTCAGTTCCCCTCTCTGCTCCTTAACACAAGATGAAAGTGTGTTCTGTAAGTTGTTCTCGTGTGTTTGTCTGCGCGTGGCTTGTGAGTGATAAAAGTACACCAATTTATTCCCTGTAACCAACGCACAACCAGTCCCTCAATAATGGATGGGCTTTGATGGAGGGCAGATGTAAAGCTTCAAGATCTCCGACACACACACACACACACACACACACTCACTGACAGGTTGGCGACAGACTGCAGGGATGGACAACGTCAGACCTATTTCTAATCCTATCTGGGGTTTTATGTTTCATGGTTTGAATTAAATAATCTCATGGATTAAATATGAGCCTGTGATTCATAAAACACTGTTTTGTTTTTATGTTGTAAACCAGCTGATTCAGGTCCGCCTGACATGTAACACAATACATGACTTCATATGGGGAGAGTTCATCTTGGCCTTTTGGGACTTGTGCTCCCAAAATGCCTCCGTGTCACAACAAAAAGGTACACTTAGCAAAACAGAAATAGCTGAAATGTTGCTTTTTGCGTTTTGGCTTTAAAGGAGGCTGGAAAGTCGAGCGGGCAGGACGTTGACGTATGTGAAGTCTGTGGAAGCAGGAGATCAGGCCATCTGACTCTGCACAATAATGACTTAACTTTATGCAAATGAGGTCCGTCCGTTCGTCGTGATTCGCCTCAAATGTTTTCAGAAACATATTTTATTACACCGTTCATTTTTGTGACCCGACCGCCATGTTGAAAACAGTCGAGCCAAAACAAAGCACCGTCAGCAGGCCGGAGCGCACCGTGACCCATCTGGGGTTCTGTCACTGCCATTAGTTCATACACCGCGGTAATATCAAAGTACTTTGCATAGAAGAGATGATTAAATGGAAAATAGATAATGTAAAGCTTTGGATTATGATGCTGTGTTTTCTCCTTTAGTGAGATGAACTTGATCTCAATGACATTTAATAGAAATGTAGGTCGTGGGTTGAAGAACAAGCCCTTTATTTGGGAACAGGTTGAAATGTTTTCAAAAGGTTTCTATAGTCTTTTTCAAACTTCACAACATAAACGTTCTAAATTGTCCCCTTTGTGATTCTGTGTTGGTCGACGCAGTAGCAGACGAGAAGTCTATTTGGACCAAAGCTGTAGCCGTAGCAACAGAATGGCATTAAAAACTAAACATAAACTACCACCTTTACTTTATTGTAACGCAATCCTATTTTTATTTGCTGCATCGTGGAATGGGGTTCGTAGGAACAGAAGAGTCGGATAATAAACGCAATAAATCGTGTCGATGTCAGCTGAGCCATTCAGAAACGAAGAGAACTTTAAGTTTGATTCGGGGCATCGGACGGAGAGGAGAGCTGCAAGACGAGGGCCGTATTTAGCTTTTTGCAGAAAACTGCCGACCTCAGCTTTAATACATTCATGGTTTGAAAGCAGTTAAGGAGTGGAGCTGATTCCTGAACAAGGATGTTTGGATGCAGATGATTGCAAATTTTGATGCCTCATCCGTGGTGCTTTTTTATTTTTTATTTCACAATTTTGAAAAAAATATCTAATTGCAATAATTTTTGACTGATATTACATTTGCGATATTAGAGGGAATGATAATCATTATTTGTGTTTTTATTGAAACACAGGGATCTGTACCAAACAAAGATGTTTGTCTTAAGTCTGTAGGATCTGATGTGTAGGCCGGGACGTCTCTGCAGCACCACAGTGTTTCATTTAAAACTGTATTCTCACACAAATGTGGCCTTAAACAAATATTGGGCCTTCTGTGATTTAAAAAATTGCCAAAAAGCCATGTTGCGTTTCTGATTAAATGTGCAGCCCTACTCAGACATGTTGTGTAAAGCCGGGTGAAATGTTTTGCTGGTCAAAGCCAGAATGCTTCAGGTACCTGGACCGGTCTCTGCTCTCTGCTCTCAATTCGATAATCTCTACTGACACAGTGTGACCTCTTTTACAGGTTCCCCGATGTCGCAAAGACTTCACAGTCATATGTAAACGCATGAATGGAGACGTTTAACGGTAATCAGGCGCACGCGTAGAGACATCGTCATTTTGTCAGCTGTTCCTCTTCTTCAGTGTGTGCCGATTAGCTACAAACACACACACACACACACTTTCCACCATCCACCCTCTTCTCTCCATCATCCCAGCTGTGAAGTGTCAACAGAGATGACTGACAGCCAAACTGAGGCGATGTGATAATGAATGGGACTGTGAATATGAATATGCAGATGAGGAGGGGAGACAGTTTGGTTGCTGTCTTCTCTTTTCAGACGGATCTGTCAGAAAATGACGGCTGTCATCCGTCAGCCTCACCGCTTTAGGATGAGACTGGCCCACTTTGTTACCCGATGGGAGGGGAAGGGTACTGTACGAGTGAATCACTGCAGTGTGTTTATTAAAACACAGGTAGAATATTCACCAAATGCAGTTTTATTTTTGCTGTGCTGTTAACATCCGCTGCAACATAATGATGAGCTGTTTTTCGATAATGAAGTAATGTTTCTGTGGTGTCTTTCATTCACAAGTCAACATGTGACAGAAGATGTTGGGATGAAGCAGCAACACAAGAACCACAAGTTCATGAAGTCACAAAAGACAAATTATAGCCACTAGTATGGAACCATTCCGGGGGACAAAGGAGAAGCCATGTTTTCATGTCAGATACATTTGTAAACTTTTATGTTTTACACAACAATATACTGTAAGAATTTCCTGGAAATATATCTCATGGCATTTTGATATCAACTCAACCAAACGCCAAACTCAGATGCAAACACACAATATCCTTTCGCTACTCGGCCCTCACATTTACACTAAAATGAATCATCAGCAGAGACCACGTAATAGAAAAAGGCCTTTAAAATACAGCTCAAGAAGTTCAGAGTCCAGCTCGTTGCCGTTTACTTACCGTCACTATACGTTAAGTAACGGATGCATCCTTAAGAACCATCTGATGAGCTCTTCATCGCTACCTCGGTGTTCTCGCCGCAGGTCTTGTACCTGCAGCACAGCTGTCACTTAATCTTTGGAAATCGGTTACTTGGAACCAATCACCATTTTAACTTTAGTGAATATCATTAATTGTAACGTCACCACCTCTACCTCTGTGACAACAGCTCTGTACTGTATAGCCCAGTTATTTTTATCCCTGTAGGATGATGATCCACAACATTCATATTTCGATAAATGTGTTGTTTTTTATGTAAGTCAATCTTTCTTTGGAGGTTGACTTGAATGGGCTTTGGTTCACGGATCAGGTTTGTTAAGAATATACCAAAGAAGAAGTGGGTCTATTTATAACTTTGATGCCAGGCTTGAACTCTGGATGTTGTGCATTTGAACATGTGTTGTTCTGTTTCTACAGTGAGATCAATCATCTGGAGTCAGGTCTGGTAGTGGAGCTGTGGAATAAAGGTTTGATCTGGGACACTATGATCGGCACAGCACTGATATCACTAGACACCATTGGACAGTCTAACGAGGTAACCCTGTCCCCGCACAAACACACACACACACACACACGCACACACACTCTTCAATATCAAACCAATTTTTCAAATTTTTCCCCCATTCACACACCGAGTGGCACGGCGGCGGTAGCAGTTTGACGTTCATTTTCTTGCCCAAGCATGGACACACGTGGACTGGAGGAGCCGATCTACCTCTGAGCCACAGCTGCCCCGCATGTTCATATGAACATGACTGTAATCATCCTGTTCATACCAGATGTTAAGACATCCCCCTCTGATTGCGTTTCCAATTGAAGACATGAGGGAAGTTTAACTGAAGTGATTTCAGCTTCAGCAGTCAATCTGAGTTAATCAAATCAAGTGGTCCGGTTTCCAAAGTTACGGCCTTTTTAGTAGAGAATTCCCTCTTTATGTTTCTCCAGACTGAGCCTCCATGCTGAGTAGAGGAACAGTAACAAGTTTGGAAAACGTATTAACACAGGCTGCTTAAGCATCACATAAGCTTCAGAGAGAAACTTTTAAATATATTTTTCTACAGAACAAACTGTGGACGCATTGCAGAGGGATCTCCTGATGGCCAGTATGAACAGGAGGAATGATTACAGCCACCAGTAACTGTTTCGCTTCAAATCTCTCTCTCCATCCCTTTTTTTATGGTATACAAAGCGTATTTATTAATCCGAAATTCCCCTTATTCCTTTTTTCTTTCTTAGCAACAGGAAGTAGAGAGGCAGAGAAGTGGAGCGGCGTCGTCTTCCGCTGTAGCCCGTTGTGTTCATGGACGAGCGTTAAGATGATTTTATAAGAGCAGCATGTGCTGCTTAGGCTGCTTAAACTCACAACAACCCTTAAAATAAACACACATTCCACCTACCGGTGCTTACTCATTAAAACACCATCTTCACCTGTCAGAACCTGTCAGCCGAGTCTTAAAAAAGCACTCTCACAGGTTGCCGACTCATTTTAGCGCCGGCTTGTCTCGACTCTAGACCTCGTTACTTTTGTTCTGGTGGCAGCGCTTGTGCAGTCATTAATAATGCATCCCCGTCAACAGTAAACGCTCACACCTCGTCCTGCCAGCGTTGGGCCTCGCTCCTTCATCGTTTCATCTTTGCTCAGGTTTATTGAATGGCGTTTCTCCTCAGCTCGCCCTCGATTACCACGATGACGCTGTGATTCTCAACAAATAAATGCTTTTGTTTCTTCCTCTCATTTTCTTTGTGTCTCTCTTTTTTTTCAGGAGGGACCAGGAAAGTGGGCGTCGCTTGACTCCGAGGTGTTAATGAGGGAGGATGAGATCTGTGGTACCTCCAACCCAACTCCACACCAAGTGCTGCTGGACACCCGCTTTGAGCTGCCCTTTGGTATATATTACAACTATATCACAAACACACACAAAACAAATCTCACCCAAACATGTCAGCCTCAGAGCCAGGAGGTGATGCAGTGTAAAAACCTGTTAGCATAGCATCATTGGCTGAAGTTAAAACAAAACAAAAACAGTACTGTACTCTCTATGATCGCATGATAAGAGCTGAAGAAAGAAAACGAAAAGTAAAAACATTCTCGACTATGAATATTTTGCATCAAAACTATTCAAACCTGCAGCGATGCAAATTTGCGACAGTTGCAGCACTTTATGAATAAAAGTTTTGAATAGATTTGCACATGCAGAGGACCTCTCCTCTCTCCTATTGACCCGGAGCAGCGTCCTGCAGTCTGTCTGAGGTAAAGTGTTGTATAGCATAAGCTACTGTAAGATATTTTATTAGTTTGTTGAGTAAATGTAAGTGCATGTGTAGTTCTTTTATTGTGAAAGGTTGATTTGGGATTTATAAAAGTAAATAACTCCCTGACAGGTGTACGCAAGGTTTTCTAAATCTGAATTTTTTGTCTACATACGTGCATTTCCTCCTTTGTATGTACGCAAACAGTAAGTGTGGATCCTGCACGCTGTTTTATAAATGAGACCCCTGGTGTGCGCTGCCTGGTGTGCACTCAGAAAAAGTGACCTCACTCCGCGTAATGTTAGCTTTCTGTGTGAAAGTGTTCATGACAAAAACAACAGTTTGAAAAATTATATTGAAATGCTAATTATTCGCACAAAACAAAAATGCCCGCGGCATGTGAAGGATTCAAGTCTTGCAGCCTTACACACTCAACAAATTCATTGAATATTAACCTTAAAGTTATCAACACATAGACAGACTCGAAACAAGAAACTTCCATGTGTTTTGCATAATATTTGTATTTCACAGTTTCCTTCTCAACTGACTGAGCTTCCTTGTAGAACCTCATTCAGTATGTTAGAGATTGTGAACGTTCCTCTGGCTTCATGAAGTTTTTATGAAGCGTTGCTTCATGGTAACGTCAATAATATATAATCCTGAATGTTCCTCAGCAGCCTTTATCTTTATTTGTTGTTGTTTTTATTTTCTCGAGTGTAACCGCCTGCACAGCACACAGTGTTTCCTCAGCGAGCTCTTAATCTCAGCTGTCTGAAGTGTCCTCTCTTGAGCTTTTTATCAACACTCACCCGATGTCACGATGACGCTGGTCCGTGCTGCCGTCCGCTCGTCTTGACACAAAGTCCAGAGCCTGAAGATGGAGATAAGATAAGAAAACGGTTAAGAAAACTTCCACAAATCCTTTTAACATGTTAAAATAATTGACATCCAACAGAGTTACGGATCAATCGCTTGTCACAATGAGTCGTACTAAAACACAGACGTAAGATCGGAGATATAGCGTGAGGTGAAAGAGACAGGTGCAACCTGTTTTTTTTGTTTTTTTTTAAACAACCAAAAGTTAGTTATTGTAGTTTGTCCCATTAATCAACACGGGCAACAGTTGTGACACACAACTCATTGAGTCAATTAAGGCACACTCAATCTCTCAGCGCTCTAGTGCTGCAGTTGCCGTTAAAATTCAGTATAATTCAGTCAACTATAGTAGAAAGACGCTTCTTATAACTCCATGGGGTTTTACCAAAACTATGCACCGATTAACTGATGTTTTACTTGAGAAACACATTCCAGAGGCCGTAGCCAGGCTTTTACATTTTCTCTATTCTCGCCTTTTTCTCTTCTTCTGCCCCAACTTCCTGTCTTTCCCTGGCTTTGGGGGTTGACCCACGAGGCCCCCTGAGGTGGTTGTTAATTCTATTTCTGGGCCCCCGAAAGGAAACTTCCTCATCAGCTATTAAACGCACATGAATACAAGATGGAAGCACATCAAGCAATGTGGATGGGATCAGACAGGGTGGGACAGGGGGCATGGAGGAGACTGAGGGAAGGGTGGAGCTACAGTTCCTGTGGTCCTGCACTTTGCCTGGCATTCTGTGTTTTGCACTCTCCATCTTCCTCCATTATTTACTGTCTCTCGTCATCACCCCTTTTCTCAATCCCACTGTCCCATGTAGTCTCTATATCCTCCACCGCCCCTCTTTCACCAACCTCACTTGCACGCTTCTCCACATATATTCCTGGCACTCTTTTCATTTTTCTTACTTTCAATCCGTCTTTCCAGATATTCCTGAAGACGAGGCTCAGTACTGGACTGGTAAACTGGACCGGATTAACACCATGCGGATACATGACGAGGTAAGTGTACTAAAGAAGTTTATCTACTGATAATAAGTCGTAAATTATTAATCTATTTAAGATGTTAAATCACTGTTCATTAGGAGTCAAAGGGGATGTTGATGCTTGAGAAAACAAGGACAGACTTTTCTTGAAGGGAGGTGGTTGTGGTAGAATGATAATTTGAACCCTTGGTGTCGCTTGAAACTAAATGTTCTTCTTGTATAGGACAGGACAATAGCATTTTGGTTTTGTGTGTAAAAAGAAGAAGAAGAAGTTAATTTACACTGACAAGTTCCTTTACCAGATTACCCAACTTCTGAGAAACAATAACGGCAAAAAGTCATTTTAAAGTTGTTCGCTGTTGTGGAGCTGAGGTGCAGCAGAAGTTCAGCGAGCGTGCAGTGGAAAGTGAATCTTCTATAGTGTAAAACTCACATACATTTTTTGCAGCTTTCATGTGAGCATGCATCTGCAATGCATAAGAAGTATTGTTTTCATTTACATCTGTTTGCATTAAAAACAAATATCTTCTCTTATAAAACTGTCTACAATATTTCTATTGGGTTTTGTTCACAAACTCAGATTATTTATGTTTTTGAGAGCATTCTCCCTATTTATTTAGTTTGACCAAATATTATGTCACAGTGAAATTGCAGTGTTTGTCGGGTCTCTGCTGCCATCTAATGGAAGATAATAGTTACTACAGAGAATAATAGTTACATGAGGTCCGTTTAATGCTGTACTGACATGTGCCTTTTTAGTATTAAATCATTTTGATTCACTTTCACTGACCCCTTCACATTTCTCCTTTGTTTTGTTCCCATCTTTCTCTTGTGGCAGTATCCACTGCAGGAAGAGGTCCAGAGAGGACGAATGGCATCTGTGCCCTCTCAGTGCTGTGAGTATAACAGTACCATTCATGCCATAGCACGTCCACATCGACATTCATGTGTGACTGCGTTTTGTTGGTCTTTGTTTACTAATGTGTCCTTCCACACTGATGACTCTGATGTGGATCTTTTCTTCTCATTACCTCCGCCAAGTACGTTATGTTTTCGTTTCGGTTTGTTGGATTGTCTACTTGCCTGATTTTCATGAAAATAGGCGATAGGTGTAGCATGGACAGAGGAAGAACCCACTCAATTTTGGAGCGGATTGGCCTTGGAGTGCCTTTCTGGTTTCTTCTTGTGTTTCATGAGAAAGAAAAGACATTTCACGTCAGCCACCCACTCGAGGGCTGTTGCATTATGACACAGACTCTTACATTTAAACCTACATCAGCGCCACTGATTCACGCTTGCTGTAACTAAAGAGGATCTTTGGATGCACCAGCCACTGTGCGTGGTGGTTATGAGGAGCTGCGTTTGTGAAAATCCCTTTTAAAATACTTTACTGTTTTCTCGTGTCGATGTTGATCACTCATTCTGTACTACCTGAAATTAACTCAGTCATCACATTACTTTGTGTGACTTCATCACATTGTTTCACTTACTTTTTTATTTATCTAATACTGGTATAACCATTCATTCATCATTTAGAATTCCAGGGTGTTTTCAGTCCCATTACATGTTACATGCTCATTTGGCCGTCACCAGTTACAGTCACAGGCTTGACTCTTCGGTAATAAACTTCATTTGTCTTCCTGACTCCTTTGAACACTTGCCCCCATGCCTCCAGGCAGTTGGAGTTATTTCGGATGGAATGATCAGCAGAGTACGTATAGATTTTTTCCCCCCATGTGACTTGTGATTCATTCCACTTCTGCATCGAACAGGATCTCCTCTTTCCTTTTAACTGCATGTTTGGTCTGTATCCGTTGTTTGTTGTCATTGTATTTGAAATTGGTGTTGATGTACTCTCATGATGAAAGAACAATATAACATGTGTGGTTGACAATTCTTTTTGCCATATTGTATGTGGCATTTGGAGTACATTGTGTCTATTTATCCAATAACTTGTTCAAGCTATTTTCAGCTTGGTTTTCATGCTTTTTGTATTACATGCCTGCTACCACTAGAGGGAGCTTTTTATTTAAAAAAAAGTTTGGAAGTCTTCCTCAGTCATAACAGTGTCCAAGCAGCCTGCCTCTCAGATTACTGCATGACAATGGTACAGATGTAACTTTTGTATGAATCATCCTCTTTATTTCAACAGGAAGGTGTCACTTACACATGTCTACCAGAGTGCTATACATCATAATAAAGAAATGAATGAATAAGAGCAGGGTATTATCTGAAAATCTATTTGATCACTTGGAGAGAAAAGTATCATTTAAAAAATGTATTTTAGATATGATCTTGTTTGTGTTTTGTTAAACTGTTGTGTTGCCTCTGCCCAGCTCTCGATGACCACGACAGCGCAGTGGATGACCGCGATAGTGACTACCGCAGTGAAACTGGCAACAGACCTCCACGGTTCCACAACACCTCCCAGACAAATTCATCAGTACATCAGTACCCCATAGGACGCAGGGTCCAACATCAAACCCCGTCCAGTGAGGCTGACTCCATACAAAGCTACGAGCTAGACTATAGAGAAATAAGGGGGCCCAGGTAAACAAACACCCACTCACAGACCTCATGCATGTGCTTTGAAGAGTCAAGTTACGTACCAAGAGTAGCAGAATCCATTGATAGAGGTTTTGAAATCATTACAATACTAACAAATACCAGCACAGTAATTAAAAAAGACCCATTTTAAAGCAGTATTGGCACAGCCTTAGATAGTTGTATTAAATTGTTAATTCATTATTAATTAATTTAACACTGTTAATCTGTTGCTTGTGCTATTCTACAGATGTGTTGAATATAGATGTTTTCATCTTGATAAGTGTTGCCATGGGAAAACAAAATAATCTCAAACAAAGAGAGAGAGAAAAGAGACAGCCAGCTAGCTGCCCGGCCAAAATATAGACATACTACCAGCAAAGAGCTGCAACTTACTTTCACACGTCTATGTTTTTCATAGGCATAAGCAACAGCACAACTTTGTGTAACAAAAATAGAAACAATGAAATTGTGCACATTGCCAAACAAGATACTTTCCCTTCCACATGTGTACTCTGCTTTCTTTCATTTGCTATTCTATTTCTTTACTTGCATGAACATTTTCCTTGCACGATCTGCTGCTTTTGATTAATGTCTAATGCTTAATTTATCTTTCTTTCCTTTCTTTCTTCTTTTTATTTGCATCATGTTCCACTGCTTCCTGCATGGCACTTTTTTGGTTACAATCTTAAATCAAGGCGATCAAACAGTAAGGGTGGAGTAAGAATAATCCCTGTTGACTCAGGTATGGGTGTGGAAGATTGGGAGAATAAATATAAAGTGCCTGACTCGGGTGTCTTGGATGATTACTTGGACGCTGAGCAAAAAATGTGGGAGGACGAAGATAAAAGCATCATCTACCGGATCAATGACAACTCCTGTGAGTCCAAAGGTAGCAGGTTCTACCAGACAGTAGAATGTGATGCACTATCCCCTGAGGATTCGGAGGAGGGCGACGGCAGGACACACAGACGTGGCTTTGGTAGTGGAGAGGTACGGATAGTTTATAAGGAAGCCGGTAGCTTTGAAGATGAGTTGTCCCCTCCTGAAATTGATATAATTCCCTCTGTCAAACAGCTACGACAGCAGGCAGACAGAGAAGGTCTACTTTACAAGACCAGACTGTGGGCCAAAACTGCCTTAGAGGACACACTTGAGAGCTATGCAGCTTTTTGTGAGGAGGAGGAAGCTCGGGAAGAGGCTGCAAGGATCAGAGGGAGAGGAGAATATGGCTCAGTTGGTTCAGATGAGATGCAGTATTCCTTTGGATCTGAGGAGGATATATATGACCTGACATTCTCTGAGGGGGATGTTAGCTATGAATATGAAAGTTACTACTACCCAAGCCAGTATATATCACCTTTTGAAGGACAAGGCCATTCAAGCAAAGGGAGAATAGGTCGTGGACAAGATCCTATGTTGTCTCCTGTAGAGGAGCCAAGTGATGAATTTGTAGATGCAATGGGTGAACTTCAAAGCTTAGTTCACTCAGTGTCTGAATACCTGGCCGTAAAAGAGGAGGAAATCAACAACTATGAATCAATGCCTAAACCAATTAGAAGGAAACTACCAGCACTGCCAACCAATGCTCAAGTTGTGCAACCTGGAGACAGTAATAGTGATGAAGTCAAACCTGAAGTTAAGGAGGACAGTGCTGTTGAACAGGGTATAGCTGGAGTAAAGAATGCTATGAGTTCATTATTCAGTACAATCAAAGGATCGAAGTCTACCATTGAAGTAGAAGCCTCTGCCACAACTACATCCCCCAAACCACCACAGGCAGACTCTGGTATTTCAAAACTGCTCTCTTTGATCCCTAAAGCTAGCACTGAAGCCACAGAGACCTCTGGTACCACTGCAACAGGTCCGCCTGCCACACAAGCATCACCCCAACCTGAGTCTGGCATTTCAAAGCTGCTTTCGTTTATTCCCAAAAGTGGTGGCACTTCCCCCCTAGTGGCTATAGTTCCTCCTGCCTCTCAGGACCCAACAACGGAAAAAAAGTTTTCCCTGCAGTCTCTTTTGCCATTTCAATCCTCTGAATCCAGTCGACAAGCTGACACTGGTGAGCCGTCAACACATGTTGGCACAGAGGCACAAGCCAGTGCAAGCTCTGCAGTTCAATCCTCATCCGGGTTTGAATCCATGTTTGGAAGGCTTAGTCCTTTGAGACTTTTTTCCAGTACACCACCATCTAGAGAGCCATCACCTCAGCCATCAGAGCAAAGAAGTGCATCTGATAGAAGTAATGAATCCCAACAAGGGTCTGAAAACCAATCCACTAGTCCTAATAGAGAGGGCTCAGAAACCGAACGACAGTCATCAGGAGAAGCAAGACCAGGTTCAGGAAGTGGATCAGTTGATCTTTTGCCAGGTTCAGGAAGTGGATCAATTGAGCTTTTGCAAGAAACAGGAAGTGGATCAGTAGAGCTTCTTCCAGAGACAGAGTCATCTGGTGAGCTACCTGATATTCAAGAAAGAAGAACCCCTGCAATATCTGAACCAAAACCTGAAATCAATTCAGAGGAAACAGGGTTCTTCAGTCCTTTTAAGAAATCTCTGTCTACCCTCATATCAACAGTTCCTCCTGAAAATCCCTCAAGTAACACCAAGCCTGCAGAGGAGTCATTTTTAGGCAGTAAACTCAAAATTCCCTTTTTCTCTTCTGAAAATAATCCCACAACAACCCCATCAACAACAGAAGGAGGAATTCTCTCTGGCATTCTTAAGTTTGCATCTGGCGAAGATGTCAATGCCCCGCCAAAAAGTCCATCCTCCAGCTTTGCAAGAAGTCCCTCTCCAAGTCGTGCTGCTCTTCTTGAAAGTGTCCCAAAAGGAAACACAGAAACTGGGTGGTTTTCAAACCTGTTTAAGGTAGCCCCAAGTGACCCTGCTAAGGAAGCTGCAACACCAAAAATGACTCCCACTGTAATGCTAACCAAGCCTAGTGGTCAAACTGAGCCACATACTGAACCAATGGTCCCTGAAACCACAGAGAGCACACTCTGCAGAACAGATCAATTGTCTCAAGAACAAACATTGTCTGAAAAAGATTCCCAAAGCAAGACAGGTGTCCAGCCTGAAGCAGATGTCACAACGAAAGATCAAGATCCGCCCAAGCCTGTGGAACAAGCCAGATCACAACCACAAGTCTCAGAGGCCAAAGGCATTCTTTCTGGATTGTTGAAACTAGGATCAACAGAAGACGTGTCATCTGACAAGAAAGCCCAAGGAGGGGATAGTCAGCCTCAACAAGGTGGACTATTTTCAGGCCTATTTTCGTCACCTTCTCAGTCGTCTCCCCAAACACAACATAATTCTGCCTCACAACAGCCAGGAGGACTGTTGTCAGGATTTTTAAAATTTGCCTCTGATAATGTTTCTGCTCCTACCAATCAGTCACCATCGTCATTGCCAGGAAGCCAATCAGGCCAAATTCCAACACAAAGGCAAGGACAACCAGCTGCTGCACAGCCGGTTTCTGGAGGACTCCTATCCGGGTTCTTGAAAAAAGCTACTGACACAGTGACTGGGGCTCAACCAAATCAGCCCAGTCAAGAGTCACAACCAGAAGCAGCTGACCATATAGAAGGATCTGAACAAAACTTGAGTCAAGGGACCACTCCTCCTATTCAGTCAGCAGGGAATTTGTCTGACCAGCAATTGAGACAGCCTGTAATCTCAGATCAACAACCTGACCAAACAACTGAAATACAACATCCCAAAGCAACAGGAACTATGCCTCAATCTAGTGGATTGTTTGGGGGTTTGTTGAAACTCACAGAAACCGCTTCCCAGCCACCAAAAGGACCTCTGGCTACACAATCTACACAAGCAAATCAGCAATCGGGTAACATGTTGTCGGGACTTTTTAATAGGATCGTGGAACCTAGTCCTACTCCATCTCAGCTACAATCAGAGTCTGGTGCTCAAGGGACTAACCAAAAACCAGCACAGCATGCACCTCCTCAACAAGGAGGCTTCTTCTCTGGACTTTTTGGAATTGGGGGCCAGGACTCTGCTCCAGCAAACCCAGGCCAGCCCTCACAAAACCAGCAACAGAGTGACCCATCCGGGCACCAATCTAATCAGCAACCAGGCAATAGACAAAACCTACAAAAGCAAAACCAAGTCCCTCCACAACAGCCCCCAGGTAGTCCTGGAGGTATGCTCACTGGATTGTTAAACAAAATTGCGGATGCAGGCCCCCCACAGTCTGTAGTGGGAAGTCAACCAGAGCAGCAACATGCACAAAGAGCAGGCCCTAGATTGACCCAGCAACCACCTAATCAACAAGGAGGCCTCCTCTCTGGGCTATTTTCAGCGGGTCCTACTCCTCCAGCACAGCAGCAACCACCTGTAAGTCATACCAAACAGCAGCAACCCCAACAAGGTAACAGACAGCCTCTGCGGAGGCAAAACCAGATACCTCCACAACCAGCAGCCTCTGCACCAGAGCCACAGCAGGGTGGACTATTGTCTGGACTTTTTAATAAGTTAGCATCTACAGATAATGCACCACAACAGCCCGCCCCACAGACGGGGTCCCAACAGGGAAATAAATCAAACATTGTTGGACCTGGTCAATCTACAGGTCAACAATCATCTCAATCCAGTCAGCAAGGAGGATTCTTTTCTGGTCTGTTTGGTCAGACATCACCTCAACAGCAGCAACAACCTGGCAAAATTGCAATTCCTCAACATACAGCAACCCAACAACCTAGTCAAAGTGGAGGCTTGCTTTCAGGTATTCTGAAGCTTGCATCTGGTGAAAATGTACCACAGGATCAACAGTCACCTCAACCTGCTCAGGCAGGTCAACCATCTGTTAAATCAGGACAAAATCCAGCCCAGTCTGAATCAGGGGGATTATTGTCTGGTCTGATGAACAAAATTTCAGGTACTGTGGAACAGTCATCATCACCTTCTGATCAGATGAACCTTCAAACAACACAGCAACAACATCTGCCACGTGCAGGACAGGGGCGACCACAGATTCAGAGAAC